ATGAGCAGTGACTGTGTCCCAGGATATACTGATAACAGTGGGGCCTTAGAATTGTCCTTTCAAGCGCCAGCTGTCATGGAGTTTTGTTTTGTTTTGTTTTGTTTTTTTGAGATGGAGTTTCCCTCTTGTCACCCAGGCTGGAGGGCAATGGTGCAATCTTGGCTCACAGCAACCTCTGCCTCCCAAATTCAAGTAATTCTCCTGCCTCAGCCTTACGAGTAACTGGGATTACAGGCATGTGTCACCATGCCAGGCTAATTTTTTGTATTTTTAGTAGAGACAGGATTTCTCCTTGTTGATCAGGCTAGTCTTGAACTCCCAACCTCAGGTGATCTGCCCACCTTGGCCTCCCAAAATGCTGGGATTACAGGCATGAGCTACACACCCGCTGGCATTAAGTTTTTATTCCGCCTTCTGATGACCCATTTGCCGCAAATAAAAGAAAGCAGTAATTATTTTGTAGCTACTGAAACAATGGAATAGTCTCATGGTATTTCCATGTACAGTAGCATGATAGTAAGAAAGCATTTACAATAGGTACAAGCTACCCTCCTCCCTCTTGCTGATTTAAGGATTATGTTATCTAGATGGAATGGAATGTTGTAAGTATGCAGGAGCTTAAGACTTTTGGTATTGGTGTCTTTTGAGTTCTTATAATTAATTTTGTAACAATACAGATTAGAATTTACCACCAATGGTGATCACTGGAGTTAGTGGTAAAAAACTGTTTTGATGGAAACCTTTTTTTCATTACTCTAACCCAACTCAGCTACATCAGATCTGAAGAGTTCCATCTCTTCTTATGGGGAAAAATTATTTGACTTGTCCCAATCATGATTATTTGTTAATCTGTAATATCTTTATTCTATAAAGAATTGGAGCCACCTGGAAAAATACATTTGAAACAAATTAATAAATGTTTTTAAAGGGAGGAGAGTTGGCACAAAGGAGAAAAGTAGGTAAGAAAAACATAAAGCTGGTTGACATTCACACACATAAAATGTATACCCTGTGATCCTGTCTAGTTGCCAATGGAAAACTTATAATTTTGACCCTAAACTTCCTAGCAATCAAAACAAAGTTGTAAACAAGACCATTTCCATGACTTGCAGTATTCATGAAACAGAAAAAATGTATTTATTCAAAAATGAACAGCTTGTTCTGGCACTGCTAACAATACTATGATGTTAGGTAACTGAGATCTCTGGAGAGTGACATATGTCAGAATCATCTCCACTTCACTGGCGAGAACCAGCACATACACTCACCCAAGCTCAAGGGACTAGGAAAGGCAATCCTAGTATGTGCCCGTTGAGTGGGAAACCTGGAAAGCAGTACTGATGATGTCCACACTAGGAATCTTCTTAAATCAATATATATTCAACAACCCACCTATTTTACATACATAATGTTAACAAAAGGACTGAGTTGTTTTTAACTTGTTTGTCGATTTGAGTCAATGACATAATGTCAAAAGTTGTTTAATAAGAACAATTCTATTAAGAAATGAGTCTTGACTGGGGGCAGTGGCTCACACCTGTAATCCCAGTACTTTGGGAGGCCGAGGTGGGAGGATCACTTGAGGTCAGGAGTTCGAGACCAACCTGGCCAACATGGTGAAACCCCGTCTCTACTAAAATACAAAATTAGCCGAGTATTGTGGCGCATGCCTGCAATCCCAGCTACTCAGGAGCCTGAGGCAGGAGAATCGCTTGAATACAGGAGGCGGAGGTTGCAGTGAGCCAAAATCATGCCAGTGCACTCCAGCCTGGGGTGACAGAATGAGACTCTGTTTCAAAAAAAAGAAAGAAAAAGAAAGAAAGAAAGAAAAAGAAAGAAAGAAAGAAAGAAAGAAAGAAAGAAAGAAAGAAAGAAAGACAGAAAGAAAGGAGCCTTATTAGAAGAACATATTAGTGGAAGCAATTTGGAGAAATATGCTATCCATATGAACACTACTGATAGCTGTCTTTATTACATTTTAATATGTGTGACATGATGTGTTTTGTGCCAAAAAAATTAATTGTTGCAAATAAATAAAGCCAGAGATGGTTCCTAGCAATACTGCCCTAGTAAAGTATACATAGTACCTCGATCAATACCACTTGGTCAGTTCAGCACACAAGTACTGTATTAAAATTCAAAGAAGCTAGTCATTCTCAGGAAAAAGTAAGTTCTACAAAGAACTATTAGAAAACTTCCCATATTTTTAAAACTGACATTTATATTGATGTGACATTTTCTTAATCCCTTAACGACTTTTAGTGGAAATACCAACATGCCGAGAGAAGATCAAAATGGGAATGCAATTCTTTTATTTATAAAGTATGCTACAATTAGACGATAGGGGTACTGGCCTCAGTCAGCTTAAAGACCATTGTAAGAACAACTGCTTTAAAAGCGCTGCCTTTGGTGCTATTGACTATGTTGTTCTTATCTAGATGTTTCTCCTTCACCAGGCTGAGTGTCCACAAAGTTGACAGGCTGATGATCAATGACTGGACTTATTTCTTAATTTCAATTTCTAGTAAATTCAAGGGAAGAGCCAGAAACACTAATGCAAGCAACTAGCTAGGAAAAGGAACCAGGATTTTTCTACTATAGCAATAAAATGTGTACCTGGAGGACCCCAGGGTTCGTTTTGCAATAACAGCTTGCCTGTTAGCTGTTTATTCCCTGCATTTTCATATCTCTTTCCTAACACTAAAAGGCATATCAAATGAATATTTACCTCCAGGAATTCTGAAAGACAATAATAAAAATAATTAGTTAAATGATTGTTTTTAAAAAATGCGTATCTCTTAACGAGGGATTCAAAGCCTCCATAACGAAGTTTAAAAAGAAAAATATTACCCAAGTGAAAAGCTATAAACTCAAATGCTTTTGTGTTCTATTTTCAGTTTCAGAAACAATATTTTAAACCTTAGTATCCAGCTCTATATCGTCACATAAAACTTGCCGAGTTCCCTTTCAAGAGGTAATCTTGGCTGCAATTACACTATCTAATGACCAAAGTGAAAAATAGGATTTCTGACTGACCCTGGCAGGCCAGCTCTTTATGCCCGAATGATATAAGAGAACAGCTAACAAGACCTCACCATGCATGGCTTTAAATGTTATTGATGGCACTAAAGCAAGTCTACCCTTTTTCAAAAAATCCTTTCCTGTGCCTGGTCTTGTTGTCACCATAGGAGTGACTTACATCCTGTGGGCTGATGATTCATGGAGAGTTTTCTGTCATTTGTCTTACGTTCAGGACATTACAGGTTCACTAAATATTCCTCTGGTTTTCACCTTAGTAGAGACATTGAGAGGTATAGGACCGGTGTTCATGCTATGATGTAATAATAAAAATAATTAGTTAAATGGTTGTTTTAAAAAAAATGCTTATCACTTAACAGGGGATCCAAAGCCTCCCTAAGGAAGTTTATGTCATCTAGTAATACCCTCTTTGTTTCTTATTTCTTTTCATGTAAAATCATTCTAGTTCACATATCTTAGGCACCTTCCAGGACCTCTGATCATTTGCATTGCCTTTCTCCAGACCTTTTCAATTCATCTCTTCAACTGAAGATCTGAAAATCTTTGTTATTTAATGCAAATGTACCTGTTTTCCATAGAGCAGTGATTTTCAAACACAGCTGTGAAATGCAGAAATCCAGGCTACACTCTCAGAAATCCTAATTCAGAATGTTCCTGTGATGGAGTCTAAGAATCTTTGATATAAAAACTTCCAGAGGGGATTCTTACTTGCATCCAGAATTGACGAGAGTTGTGGGGAAAACTACCTTGGATACGTGATTTCTAAACCTCTCTTCATTTCTATGCAAAGACAAAGAAAAAATAGCACCCAAATAGTTATTTTGGTAATCTATCCCAAGGAAAGTGATATCCTTATTCTTTAGAAAGAATTATCTCCAACCCATTTTCAGCTTCTTCTCGGTTGACACCATTTCCAGGACTCCAAAAGTAAGACCACAATTTAATGGACATAGAACTCCTGTCCTTCCTACCCACCTCCTTTTTCTCTTCTTTCGCAAAGTGAAAACAGTATACATGCTCACAGAATGTCTGGAGATATCACAATCCCAAGTAGTTATCTGAGAATCAGCATGAAGAGACAGTGTGAAATTGATGTCAGAATAGTCCCTATCCTTTTATCCATTAATGAATCCTCTCTTCCCCTACTCATGGAAAAGGGGGAGAGAGAAAGGTTTCAGAGATATACTTATTTATAAATCTTCATTTAAACATATCTACATACCAGTATTGCCAATTCAACATTTAATAAGTTCTACTCTGAAGGTGGCATTATGCTAAGTCCTAAGCTAGGGAGATCAATAAAATACATATTTCTAAGTATGAAATTGCTCAGACACTTGGGCAGTGGGAAAGACAAAACCCTGTACATTATGGACAACTCCAAATATAAAATTTGTTGAGTATAAACAATTTTTTTTAATGGAGTTTCACTCTTCTTGCCCAGGCCGGAGCTCAATAGTGCGATCTTGGCTCATTGCAACCTCTGCCTCCTGGGTTCAAGTGATTCTCATGCCTCAGACTCCCAAGTAGCTGGGATTACAAGCATGCACCACCATACCCAGCTAATATTGTATTTTTAGTAGAGATGGGGTTTCACCATGTTGATCAGGCTGGTCTCAAACTCATGACCTCAAGTGATCCACCCGCCTTGGTCTCCCAAAGTGCTTGGATTAAAGACGTGCGCCACCGTGCCTGGCCCAAACTACTTTTACATTCGATCATCAGACCCATTACTTAGATGTAAGTCAAGCAGTGTGTAACAGAAATAGTGTTGGCTGGAGGCCAGTGGCCTTGCTCCACACCAGCCACTCATTGATCTCAGGATTCTGATCTACTAAGTTTGTGAATTTCCAAGGACCCTTCCTGTTCTATGTTCCCTGGCTTTTGTAGTCACCCTATAAATTATCCAGTTCTTATTATAATTCTGTTCCTGATTCTTTCCCCCTATTTATCTTTTTCAGATTCTGTTCATGGGCATGATGACTGAATACTATCACTACTTTTTCACAACTCTGGTAAGTACATCTGGGAGAAATGTACTCCACATGTTAGGAAACATCTTCACATGGTTATTTCAGAGGTGGCCTCACCAGTGTCCAAGGCAGGATATTGTCATGGAGCCTTGACTTACTTTCTTAAGAATCCTCTAAATCCAGCAATGCTGAGCAGCAGGTTTCTTTCTTTCTTTTTTTTTTTAACTAGCATCAATGTATGTGCATTTAGAATGAAATTAAAATGAAACTTCCATTAAATAGAAACTATCAAAGTAAAACCTATTCATAAAAAAGCATCATCTACAATTTTTATATACATTAGCAGGTGCATCCAAGTGTGTCTGGCATTCATTGACTTTATGTGGCTTTCCTGCCTGTGTCCAGCAGATAGCTGGGTTAGCCAAGGGTTACCTGTCAGATGTTTGAAAATCCTTCAAAAAGGGAAGTATTGAAGATGCTCTGTACATTGAATATTTTGCACCATAAAGAAAAATCATGGTACTAAGCCTTAGAAATCCAAAAGAAACCATCGAACATCTTAAATGTTGAGAGACTATCTGATTATAAAGAATGATTTAGGGTATTTAACACATCAAACTGATGTGAGAACTTTCATTCAGTCAATTTCAGAAATCAGTGACAGCCCCCACCTCCCCAACCACACACTTGCACACTCCACTTTCTTACATGAGAAGAAAAACAGAGCTTTCTTTCTAATCTGTAAGAGTGTATCAGCTAAATTCAAGCTCCCCTTTTAATCTGTAAAAGTGTATCAGCTAAATTCAAGCTCCCTTTCTAATCTGTAAGAGTGTATCAGCTAAATTCAAGCTCCCCTTTTAATCTGTAAGAGTGTATCAGCTAAATTCAAGCTCCCCTTTTAATCTGTAAGAATGTATCAGCTAAATTCAAGCTCCCTTTCTAATCTGTAAGAGTGTATCAGCTAAATTCGACCTGGATTGTGGGGGACTCAGTAACAGTACCATTTTAGCAAATGCAACTGACAAGCTAGTGAGTAGGAGAATTCAAATAATTTAGAATAAGGACCCGAAGTAGTAAATTCTATTTCTGACTCAAATAAGTAAAGCATTCATTTCGTGATGTCCTCTGATGGATGAAGGGGTGCAGAGGACATCACGAGATGAATGCTTTGGGATAGTTGTCAAAATCATTACTGCCATTGAGCATGGGGTGGAAGTGGGTACATGGTAGAAACTCCTCCTGAACTAAGGTTTCTGTGGTCTTCCCATCTGCCTCTTCCTGCTTCTTCATCTTTCTTTTTTTTTTTTTTTTTTTTTTTGAGATGGAGTTTTGCTCTTGCTGACCAAGCTGGACTGCAATGGTGCGATCTCAGCTCATTGCAACTTCTGTCTCCTGGGTTCAAGCAATTCTCCTGCCTCAGCCTCCCGAGTAGCTGGGATTACAGGCATGTGCCAGCACGCCCGGCTAATTTTGTATTTTTAGTAGAGACAGGGTTTCTCCATGTTGATCAGGCTGGTCTCAATCTCCCAACCGCGGGTCATCCACCCACCTCAGCCTCCCAAAGTGCTGGGATTACAGGTGTGAGCTACCATGCCCGATCTCTTCCTGCTCCTTGACCATGTCATCTTTAAGAACAGCTGAAGGAAAACTTAGGAACTGCTCACTCTGTTCACAAATATGGTTCTTCCCATCACCAAGAACACCTAAGGGTTACTCAAGATGGCATGGCTATCTGCCTCGGAACTTTTCACCAGCCCAGCTGTGCACACTCTGGAAGGGCTGGTGTGCACAGCTGGAGTTGGGAGAAATTTGGGAAGGAATATGAACAATGGAACCAAACAAAGCTAGTCCTCAATGGAGACCATAAGGGATGAATAAGTTGTGCACTCCTATTTCTCTTCACCCATAACACTCACTCTACATGCATAAGGGAATGTAGCAAATTAAATTTGGACTTCCATCATTCTTTGATGCATAGAAGCCCAAAATTAAGACAACCTAATTTTGTACACATTTAATGTATTTCATTTTAGTGTGTTAAATCTATGTACTATTGAATCCCTGAGGAGATTCATATGTATTCTGGAAGTTTCTGTCTTGCTTCCTGAGACTGGAGTTAATTTTCTTTCTACCCACTGAGTGTGCCAACAGACTCACATTCTCCTGGGTCTTCTTTAATTTTGCTTCCTTCATCCTTTTCCTTTGATTTTATCTGCATTTTGTGCTGGTTGGTTTTTACATTCTCATCATTCTTACCCATGAGTATTAATAAAAGTTAAAGAAAAAAATAGTTATTTAGTTTTCAGAAAAAAATATATAATGCTGTAAAAGGCAGTATTGTGCACCTTTTCTGAAGTTAATCTAGGAGCGTGGGGATGTGCTCTTTAGTTCTAATGCCTCATCCAAAGATATCTTGGGAAAGAGAGAGTGCCTCAAAAGATTCAATTTGTATGCATCTTCTGCAAATGCAAATCGCAAAGGTTTCTGAAGCTGCTGCTTTTCAGTACCTGTAATCATCACGGATAAAGTACTATCTTGTATTGCACTTTCAGAAAGCGGTTACATTGTTAGAAAACTTTTATGGAAGTACATTTTTCTGTTAAATGTTTTTGAAAGCTGGGTCTTTTTTGAGATGGAATCTCCTTCTGTCATCAGGCTGGAGGGCAGTGGCATGATCTCAACTCACTGCAACCTCCATTTCCTAGGTTGAAGCGATTCTCCTGCCTCAGCCTACTCAGTAGCTGTGACTACAGGCATGTGCCACCACGTCCAGCTAATTTTGTATTTTTAGTAGAGATTTGCCATACTGTTATAATAATGTGACTTCACCTTATTGGCCAGGCTGGTCTCGATCTCTTGACCTTCTCATCAGCCCACCTCAGCCTCCCAAAGTACTGGGATTACTGATATATTTTTTTAATATAATCTTTTTATATGAGAAAAAAGCTCAAATTATTACATGTCTTTCTTAAATGTGAATCAATTTAGAAATTCTAGTTTACATCCAGCCTCATCTGTAATAGAAAACATTAGGAGGAATTCAACTTTTTTTCCTGAAACACTGTCTGAAAGGGAATGGTTTCCCTTGTTAAGATGTTCTTGCACCCATGCAGCCTTGTGATCTAGTATATTCTATGAAGAGCACCCTTCAGCTCCTATTCTGAGCCTATATTCAGTGAACATTCTTCATGCCCTCATTGTATGAGATATGAGTAATTTTTAATAAGCCAGGAGATAATTTTTTTCTACCAGAAGTGATTTTCCTGCCAAACACATTTGCAGTTTCCAAATTTGCCTTTGGGCAAGACCTGGAACAGCCTGGGGTGCAAGACCTGATGGAGAACAGTAGGTATTGCCAGTGATTCCTGTTATGGTCACATCACCACTCAGAACCTCAGTTTCTTCTTCTGTAAAATAAGAGCATTGAACTAAATGGAAATAAATATTCTTTCCCATTCCCCAAAGGCTATAAACTGAGAACAGAACTTTCAGCTTTTTAGAATGCGATATCCTATGCCCAAGGACATATTAATCAGCAACAGCAAAATTCCTTTTCTTGTCTTATCCAAACTCTAACAGTATGGCAAAAATAAAATAGATGAAAATGAAAACTGATTATTGTCCTAGAATTATTAGGACAGCATGTGAATGAAAAACAATGGGGAAATGTTCTTTTATTGGAATAGTGTGGTATGGCTGCCATTTTTGTTTTAAGCTAGAGCAGTCCCCCTTTATCCAATGGGGATATGTTCTGAGACCTCCAACAGATGCCCAAAATCTAGGATGGTGCCAAACTCCATATAGATTATGTTTTTCCTACATGTGCATACTTAGGATAAAGCTTAATTTATAAATTAGGCACAACACTCTTGCAGTATGGGACTATTTGAAGTATAAGGGTAACTTAACAAAGCAGTTCCATATCACAATTGTCGACCTAATAATTGAGACAGCTATTAAGTGACTGATGGGGAGGTGGCATCAATAGTGTGGATAATACTTGTCCCAGGCAAGACTGCATGGGAAGATCACAATTTCCTCATGCTACTCAGAATGGTGTGCAATTTTAAACTTAAGAATTGCTTATTTCTGAAGTTTTCCATTTAATGTGGTCCAGCTGTGGTTGACCACAGGTAACTGACACTATGAACCACAAAACCACAGATGAGAGGTACCGCTATATTAGTTGCTGCTGCAACCATTAATTTTATTTTGCAAAAAAAAAAAAAAAAACCATGAAAATGTGAATTCTTTTCCACTTTTCTCCTTTTTCATGCTACACAGGACTTATTTGCTTTAGACCTGGAACTCTATAGGTACAGCGGAGTAAACATGACCGGGTTTCGGCTCCTTAACATCGACAACCCTCACGTGTCATCCATCATTGAGAAGTGGTCCATGGAGAGACTGCAGGCCCCACCCAGGCCCGAGACTGGCCTTTTGGATGGCATGATGACAGTGAGTCATTTTAAAATAAAATCATTTGCGACAATATTTGAATTCCTTGGTGGCTAGATTAAGAGCTTATGTGTCTTTAAAATGTTAGAGACAAATGTTACGGTGGGGGCCTTGACTTGCATTAGAGAAAAGAGAGTATGCTTTTTAGGTAATTTGAAAGGCTGTGACTGGCTACTAGCAATAACTGCTGTTTTTAGCTTCCTGGATGTACTTGTCCCAGATAAAAATAAAATCTTAGCAAGAGTAGCCACCATTATCAGCCAAACCAATGCAAGGACAAGTAAAGAGCGTTTTGCTCTAGGAATGTGATTGAGGGGAAGGTGGCTGCTGGGGAAGAGGAGGAACAACCTATCTGCGAGTTTTGCAGAACCTATTTGTGCTGCTTACTTCTGCCACATTTCAGCAAGCAGAGGCAATGTGGAAAAATGCTGGATTTACAAACAGTCGGTGTATTCATGTCTTCCTGTCCTGGATGTGTGTAGGCTCACCTCTGCAGAACTGACAGTGTTTAATACCAGCCATATGTCGCTCTTGAAGTAGATGCCAGACCTGCCTGCTGACAAGTCAGAGATACTCTGCTGAACAGATAAATTGCGAACTGCCTCATCAGAGAGCTTCTCCTTAACATCATTTGTCTTTTGTTGTCAAATGCACTTCCCTTCACTTTATTTCTCTAATAAAGCTCCCTGGGTGCTGAAGAAAATAGCAGGAAATAAGTTTTAAAAAATGCTTCCTATGTAGGAGCCATCTAAGGGGAAAGATAGTGTGGAATGCAGGCTGGTAATACCATTTTAAACTGGCACAGTATTTGATTATCCATTCCTATCATCGGAGAAGCACTCTCACTTTTAAGATGCAATTTACCCATCATCTCACAAAGAACTGGGGATTTTTTTTCTTTTTTCTTATGAGGAACAAATGAAAACTAAGAAATAAATGAATGAATTAAGTGGTTCTGGATGATTCTATGTTCAGGCTCCCTGAGTGTTTTTCAAACCTGAAATAACTTTTAAAATATTTAAAGTGAACTGAGAGATAATGATGGAAAGCATCTTGGTACAAATGAGCCTTGGGATGATTTGAAACATTTCTTTGAATAGGAACAAGTAGAGGATATCCAGGGAGACACTAGCCTTCTGAAAGGGAGAGGGAACACCAGAGACAGAAAGAGAAGCTTGCTGATAGATCTTTCTCTTCTTCCTCTTGGATTTATAATTTCAATGAGTCCAAATATGGTTCCAAATTCTCTGCCTACTCTTCCATTGAAATTTCAATCACAGGATGAGATCTCATATCATTCTTACCTGTGGTTGGTATGTACCACTAAAAGAGTTACAGTTTGAAGTTATGTTAACACAGATTGTGGATTTATGCCAAACATTAAATATTCATCACAAATATGGCTTAATTTACAAAGAAAAAAAGTCTGTGTGTTCAATTATACTGAGCTGACAAAACAGTTTGTATGTATTGACTGAGATGAGGAAGATCATCTAACAAAGGAGACAGAGCTATGCAATTCATGTGGAATCAGGCCAAGCAAGAAGTGATGCTGCTACCCGAGGGCTGTGGCCAGTGTGACAAGACAGAGTCCCAATGGATGAAAGGAGGACCTGGTCTGCCTGAAGATTTTTACTATCATCCCAACTAAGAGAGGGTTTTGTAGGCTGTGTTCTTACAGTTATTATTATAATAAACTATCAAAAAGAAAGTGTGGATTTACCAGAACAGAAGAAGGTGGCTCACTAAGATGCAGTAAAAGTGGGTAGAGTAGCTATTAAATATATCAGGCCATGTCCATACTAGTTTTTTAAAGAAGTGATAGGACACAGGGCCCAGGAGGAGTTGGATCCAACAGTCATGCAGATAATAACTTTGAAATTATACGAAGCATAATATTTACCTCTTCTTATCCAAAGAGTTTGCTTTGCACTTGACTGTTTTCATTCTGTTTCTCCTGGATGTGGCTACTTTGGGAACGTGGAAACCATGTCATTCGGAGATGAAGATCATGAAAGGATGTCCAGTTGCCCAATAGTTAAACGAAAAGAACACACTTATGACCCCAACCCCAGACCCAGTGATAACGAATATTTGCTGTTGAGTTGCCTCTATCCAAACTCTTGGTTTTCTACCTTAAAGATAAAATGTCCTTTGGTTCCAATTCTATTGGGTCCACATAGCAGACCCTGCCCTTCATTCATTCTTGCATGTCAAGCACTTGTTGCCCCCCCACACCACCCCTGCCTAGAAACATTACCTATCCAGGCTGCTCAAATGGCACTTCACCAGACAGAGCCTCCATGATTCCCTGTCTAGGATAGTAGCCCTCTCCCTGGTTTTCTTCTCTCTCTCCTCTGACCTGTTTTTGTTTTCCTCATTGCTCTTATGACCTGACTTATTATATTTTGATTTGTTTGTTCAGTACCTTCCCCTACAAGAATAGACATTCATAAAAGTGTCTTATGAAAAAAAGGCTTTGTGCTTTTGTGCTCTGCTTTCTCTCCCACACTAGAAAAGGCCCAGTGCAAGGTACACCAATAAATACATATTTAATAAAGAAATTAATGCACTAAATAAATAAGAATTAAGCTTCTACTAAAACTGAAGATGTTAAATGAAAAATATTTAGGTAGCACTGAAATAGTCTCATAAAAGTGCAAAGAGAGTTCCCATAAATAAGAAATGTGTGAATGTGCATGATTAGTACAATAGCGATTACTTTAAAATAATAGTGTTTTTAAAAAATGCATCACAGACTGGCCACTCTTAATGTTTAAACAATGCTATTACTATAATAGAATTGCATTTTCTGAAATCATATGTGTCATTCCACTATTCTTCAAGGTGAATTTCCCTAAAGGCTGTTTATAGTCATATTTTTGTGTGTGGTGCATACATATATGGATGAACACAGGAATTGGAAAATGCATGTATTTTGACTTCCCACCCAATTATCTATTTTTCTCTTTAATATTTTTAATGATTAAGCAATTTTTAGAATTTAATATGCTTAAATAATCCTCAAATAATATGCTAATGTAAAAACATTCAAATCTGAAAATAGAGAAGTCAATTATACCCATGTCCAAAAAATCTTGACACCAGACTTAAAAACAATAAAATTAATTAAAGAAGAAAGTTGCCTTTAAAAATTAGGTTAAAATTGAGTTACTAAGAAAGTTGTTAAGTCAACCAAGTTCAGAAACAATGAAACTGATTATTAAAAAATATCTTGAGAATAAAAAAAGAAAGTTTTTTCATCAACAGAAGTATTAACAGAATTAACAGAAGTTCAGGGTGATTTTTATACAACCTACTTTGTTCCCTTTTACACGTTTAAATTTTTCTCAGCACTTGGACTGATTTGACCCTTTGGCTTTTGGATAGACTGGGGTAATATAGGAGGATTCATTCTCAAATGGGTTCTTCTCTGTGGACCAAAGTTGTTTATGAGTCAACACCGCCCAAGAGTCATGGGAACAACAAAGCATTGATCTTTCATCTGCCTTTCCAGTGTTTCACATCCACTCACGGCATAAAGTTAAGTCAGTCGCCTTATCCTGCTCTCTCACCTGTAAACATTTCCCTTAATCATGACCCATAGGGAAAACATCCTAGAGCTCCCACCTTGTACGTCCACTGCTACTCCAGCGATGAAAGAAAATAGGCAGCTGGATTTAGTACAAAAAGCAAAATCTTCCCAGATAATAAAAGCCCAGGGTTAAATCCTGGCTATGCCTTCTAAGTGACCCGAGCAAGTTACTTAACCTCTCTCAATTTGCTTGCTCATCTGCAAATCTGTACAATAACGCCTTTCAGTGTTACTCTACAGATTAAACTAGATTACATATGCAAAGCCTCTAGGACACAGAATTGAATTTACTTGATGATACCTGATGTTTAGCCAATTTTTAGTCAATAAAAGAACAAGAGACATTCTGAAATACCATGGCAGAATTCCATGTGTTTCCAAGTAACACATTCCTTAGCTTGCACATATAGCCCAGGATGGACTCATGACTGGGACCTATGTGACTCTGTATCACCAACCCATTCAATCTCTGAAGATTAGGTCTCTCTTCAGTACCCTAACCTCCTCCAGCTATTTCCAGCAACAATTATATAGCATGCAGGCAGCAAAGTATGGGGACTCTCTAAGCCCATATAGTGTTGTTAGGCCTTGTCTCTAAGATGAGGTGGCACCTCACTGGCTTATGTTGGGAGTCCTCAAGACCATCTTCAGATTTGGTGATTTGCTAGAAGGACTCATAGAACTCAGAAAATCTGTTACACTCACAATGACAGATTTACAGCAAACAAAGAGTAAAATCAGTGAAGGAAAAAGTGGCAGAGGGTTCACACAAGAAAAGCATGAACTTCCAAGTATCCTCTCCCAATAGAGTTGCATGAATAGCACTTAATCCTCAGCAATGGTCTATGACAAGTAGAAAGTATTGCCAACCAGGGAAGTTCACCCAAGCCTTGGGGTCCATGTTTTTTATTGGGATGCTTGGTCACATAGGCATGGAGCTCCCATATAGCTCGCCTTAGTCACTTAGTATCCAGCCTTTCAAGAGATCAAATTGATACAGTATGACCCAGAGCCCTCAGCCAACAAAATAAGCATTCATCATAATTCATATTTTTAGCATAAACTATCTGATGTTGCCCAGGACCCCAGGAATACAATAACACTCTTATTGGAATATTCCAAGGAGTTAAAAGTTATCTCCCAAGAGCCAGTCGAGGGGCCAGTCCTCTCTTTGGAATGTGCATGGTCTGAGTACCCCAAGCCTGGTGAGTTAATCTTTTACTGCACATTGTTGTAACAACCAGAACATTAAGTACTGGGGAGAAATATGCTTTCAATATGCTTATGTCATGGTTCACGTTGTGATAAAAAGATTTTCTTAGGATCATTGAACAATGTGATTTCATCCAAGCTTTAGATATATACAAAATGTGAACATAAACACATTTGGAAGAAGAAAATTTGAAACAGGCCAGTTTCTATTACATTACCTATTACCTAAAATGACAACGGTCATTCAGTAAGCAGGCCTCAAGCACAAAACTGAAAGGGGGAGGAAAATCAGTGGTAGTTTATTAGTGCTATAATACATTTAGTGCAAACATTTTTCTCCATCTAAGAAAACGTTGCATTTCAAGGAGTAGCATATTTTTTAGAATAAATAATTTTCTTCTTTGGATTGAAAGGCACAGATTAGAACTATAATTTTGAATCATTTTATTGCCCTTCCCAATATGCATCCAGCCTTGAGAAAGAATGTCCATCTTTTCTAAACTAGGTTTATGGAAAAGTCAGAGCATTATAATTCTAGTCCTTATAACTTCTCTATCACATTGGTGATTCAGTGAATTAATGAATACACATACAAATTTTCAAAAAAAAAGTATATTGTATTGATAAAAAAAAGTCCAAGTCACCATAGCATGTGGCTATGGTTGTGAGCTGAAATCTGAGTTTGTATCCTGAATTAGAATTCTCACTCCTTCCCTTAATGGCTACAAAATGGCAGGCAAGCTATTCTACCTCTACGAGCCTCAATTTCTCTGCCTGTATACCTATTTCAAACGTTTAATTTCAGTAGTTAAAAAGATGACATATGTACAGTGCTTATAGTGCCTGGCACATAGTAAATGATTAGTGAATATTAACCATTATTGAACTGTCATTGTAACTATCAAATCATCAGACTGATAACTTGGTTTAGAGGCAGCACAGCTTGATGGTTAAGGGCATATACTCTATCACCAACTTCGTGGGTTTGAATGTTGCCCGTCCTACCATGAGTTTGGGGATTTCATTTAATATCTTTATTTGTTTATCTGTAAAAGAATAAACGTTATAGTTAAAATTTAATGTTTCCAGAGGATTTAGAACAGTACATGACATATCATAAGTGCTCAATAAATGTCAGCTATTGTTATTGATTGCATTTCAAAAAGTCTCAATCTGCCAGTAGCTTAATTTCCTCATATTAAACACAATTGGTACAGCACAGTGGTAAAGATCATGGGTGCTAGAATCAGGCAGGTGTAGGCTCAAACCCTGGTCATGAAATCGATTACAGAGTAGCCTTATACCAGTCAATTTCCATGAGCCTTAGTTTTCTCACCTACAAAGATAATTGTGTAAGTCTCAAACTTAAATGATGAAAACATTTTTTAGCTTTAGAAATTACTGCTACCACTCATCTGACTGTATGTCAATTACATAAATAGGAATGAAATATTTTTTCTTAAAACTGCATCTTAAAACCTTGGAATTATACAGTTCTCACAAACATAAATTTCATTTTAAGGAATTAAGTAATATTAATTTCTTCAGTGAACATTTTTAAACAACTTTTATGTGTCAGGAATCATGTTAGCCACCAAAGTTAACTTAAACTCGAGCAGTTTCTGCCTCCAAAAAAACTGATATACTTATCCAAAAACAGATATAAACACCCAGGACAATGATAAAATACAATGATAAAAATCATACAGAATAATAAGTGGAGCTATTCTGTGGCCTCAAAGACTGATAGAATTGTGAGACATAGTAACCCCTGTCCTCTGTTTCCTCCTCCACCAAGACATGAGCAATCAATGCATAGTATATGTTGAATGAATCAACCAATTTTGGAAAACCATATGATAATTTTCATTCTATGATTCTATGACCTGGATTCCAGGTTTAACTCTGCAAATAATTAGCTATGTATATAAATCCTTATTGCTTTCCAGAAGTAATAACATCTCCGGGACTTCTCACTATGAGGGGGTAGGGGGTGTGTGTATATGTGTGTGTGGATGTGTGTGTCCCTCCACCTTGAAGTGAGTTTTCTCACATAATAGCTTTATCTCTTCTGCTTATTTTGAAGACTTGTTGAGAATTTCAAATGAGCTAATGTATTTGAAGTTGCAATGAATCCCTCAAGTAAAATGCAAGGGTATTATAAGATTTCATCCCTAAAGGAAACCACAGGGAAGTGTATTTTATAAAATGCTGTAAGTATTATGTAAAAGTTTGCAAGTGAGAGGAATTTCATGAGGAAGGGAAGAACGAGATGCCCAGCCTCCCAAAAGGAATGACTGACTTGTTTCAATCTCTATGAAGAAAGCACATGCTGGCAAGAGGAGGCATGTTCTGAGCAAGTTGCACATGTCTGCTCTTCAGAGGGTCTCTCATAACTTGCTGTTGAGTTCATTCCATGACTATGACCTTCTTGACTCTGGTAAATGAAAGTGACCAACACCAGTGTCCTTATCTAGAAATCACCTGTTAATGATTGTAGCTGTTTCTTTCTACCAAATATAAACCAGTACGTAGATAGACAAATAGATATAGACAAATATTGAGGAACAATCTGATATTGCAACTTTGAGCTTTATTAGCTTCTAGCTCCTGGTAGTTGATCTTAACACTGTGCTTAACATAGAAGACACTTCATAAAATATTTGTTCCTTGAATCAAGTCTATTGTGACTGATCTAGATTGCTTTATAAAGAACTCTAAACAAAGCAGAGTTATGATTTCAATTTACTCTGGAGTGTGAGGTATTACATTGGAGAAAAATAGCTATTGGAGAGTGAAAACTACCTCGCTGAAGAATAAATGGCCTTTGAGATAGGATAGATGGGAGCTATGGAAGCAGGGAGAGTGATTATGCAGGTAAAGAAAGGTAAACAAAGGTGGAATTGAAGATGCGGTGTGTTTTCCTCCACAGACCGAAGCAGCTCTGATGTACGATGCTGTGTACATGGTGGCCATTGCCTCGCACCGGGCATCCCAGCTGACCGTCAGCTCCCTTCAGTGCCATCGACACAAGCCATGGCGCCTTGGACCCAGGTTTATGAAACTGATCAAAGAGGCAAGTGATGCTCCCTCACAGCTCAGGGGCCCTTCAGCTGAGCACTGCTGGGCTTGCCCATTTGGTATGGTCCTTTCCACATGGATCCTTTGGCATGATGCCCGTAAGGGAGGAGAATCCATCATCCACCAGTCTTGCCCAGATTTCAGTGTCAAAAGTTTGTCCAGAAGGACTACCAGGAATTTTTCACTGTGATGCTGAGAAGTTTAATGATGCTACCAGATGCCAACACTTACCCTCCTTCACGCCAGCCATGGCCCTAGCTCCTGCTGGCTCTCCACCCATGTCTATAAGAGTGTATGGGTATTTCTTCCATGGTCCACTAAGTCAAGGGGAAGGTTGATCCGTTACGGAAGGGTACCAGAGATAGTTCCAGCATTATCAGTCCATAATCCCAGTGGCCTCCTAAAGCTCAGGTTGTGTAGCATTTAGTGGAAGTACCTCTTTATCTTCATTATATAGTGACAATTTTGTCATTTGTCAGCTAACCAGAAAAAATCTATTCCCATTCAAAACCTACCAAGCATATTGAAAAATTTTAGCTAGTAAAGGGTATTTGCAGGGATAGATTTCTTCGCTGATGTCCTGGGATCCTGGACTGTCCTCCACCTTTTCTTTTCTCTGAGACAGTTTGACTCCTCTTCACAAGACCCTGTTCTAAGCCCCAGGATTTCTTATAGATATGTACCCTGCATTATTGTTCATTCCACCAGGCACCTCCAGGTGTGTCTGGACTTGATGACATGAAATCAGGCTCTTTGGAATAGCTAGGCCTAAGTTCGAGATGCTCGGAGATGCTCTTCTAATATTTCTGTCAGATACAGACATTTACTTCTCAAGTGAATAGTATCTTTTTTCCTTTCTGTACTGGAGGAGGATGGAAATACAATGGGAGGAAGAAGGAGGGCACATGAGAATGCCCAGCTAAGAGCAAGGAAAGACACCTGCTTTGGACTCTTGTTTCTGCTGGTCTCTTCCATGCCTGCACACCCTCTGTCAAGCTGTTCAATGCACTGCCCCACTAAAGGCTGATCAATGAGGGTGAGGACCAAAAAGGCAGGATGTATAAGAATTAAGTACCTAGGCTCCAAATCTAGGTTATTTGCAAGCCCAGGATGAGGGGAATGATTTAAGGAAACATTCATTCTCATATGAGAATTCTGTACTTGCACAAGATTAAGAGGGAGTTCTTCCTTAAATTTTGTACCTTGGGCACCTCTCTTACGTCATCCTATTCTTGGCAGTGACTACTTGGGTTTTAAATCCCGGTTCCACTAACACTGATGAGCAGGATAACCTGGGCAAGTCTGTTGGTCTGTTTTCATGCTGCTGATAAAGACATACCTGAGACTGGACAATTTATAAAGAAAAAGAGGTTTAATGGACTCACAGTTTCACATGGCTGAAGAGGCCTCACAATCATGGCAGAAAGTGAAAGGCATGTCTATATGATGGCAGGGAAGAGAAAACGTGTGCAGGGGTAATCCCCTTTATAAAACCATCAGATTTCATGAGACTCATTCACTATCATGAGAACAGCATGGGAAGGCCCGTCCCCATGATTCAATTACCTCACACCAGGTCCCTCCCACAACACATGAGAGTTGTGAGAGCTACAATTCAAGATGAGATTTGAGTGGGGACACAGTCAAACCGTATCAGCAAGTTACTTTCCCTTCTTGTCATCAGTTTTTTCATCTGTAAAATGGGAATAGCATTATCTACCCCACAGCATGACTGTCAGGATAAAGAATAAGGCAAATGATTGTCAAGAATAGTTCAGAAACCTAGTAAGCATCTGAAATACTAACTATTCTCTTGCCAATGAAAGGCTCTACTAAGAACAGCCTCATTCAGTTTACTGAAGATGATGCCAGGAATTTTAAACTGGCAACAACAACAACAAAGAAATCACAAATAGGCATGAAACAAAATACCTTTTCTGACAGCTACATAAATCTGACACACTGTGCCTAATAGAAAAACATCACATGACCTCCTTTTCCCCCCGCAGCAATCATGGTTGTGTCCTGAATTGCCATCCTGATTACCTTGATCTTCAACAAGAAAACGGCTGGTTTTCTTTTATCTCCTCGCAGTTCAAGGAGAGGCAGAAGTGACATGAAAGCTTGGGATCAAACACTCAAGAGCCCCCAAGGCACCTTATCACTTGTACTTAAGTTGCATCAGAAGGTGAAATTACCAAGCCACCTTTAGGCATGTTTAAAGAACTAATGAGCTCCAAAATGAGGGACCACACTGAAAATAAGAAGGCATTTTATATTCATTCACTCCAAAGAAGCAAATTCCCCATTTTTAATCTCCACAGTTAGGGGTAACAGGAAAGGAGGGGGGAATGAATCAGAAACCTTTGCCAACATTGTGCTCACCCTCTTTTGTCTCCTGAGTCAGGATGTCGTATGCTACCTTTGGCAGGGTGTGGGTACCTGCAGAGAAAGTGGAATGGGGGTAACCAGAAGCAATGCCCCAGCCTGCTGGAGGACTGGCACTGAATTCCAAGACAGCCTAAAACATGTGAAAGAGAAAATGCACATGTTTCTTTAGATGAGTGCATAACTGAACAAAACTTTGCAAGTATCAGGTTTCATTAGGAAACATGAGATAAGGAACTTGGTCCCAAAATTTCCCAGTTTTTTTTAATTTGTTTGTTTTTTGTTGTTGTTGTTGTTGTTTAGTAATTCTTACTTTGTAAAGAACTTCCAAAACTAGAGTCAGAAAAAAATATGAAGAAGCAAGTCAGCAGATTGAATTTATGGGGTGAAGATCAAATTCATCACAGGAGGTAAACTTCCTGAGCAGAGGTAGATGCACATGCAGTTATTCCTGATAACGCCACACATTCTTGGGAATCAGTAACTTTACAGACTACCTTTCAGTGTTTGGGGTTGACTGGATAAAGGGAAAGAGTTCAAGAACATTTGCAACATGATAGAGTATGTTATTGTGTTAGCTTTCTGAGCATTTGCTAAACAAATGCCTATTACATTATACATTCTCTCTCAACAAGCATTACTGGAACTCCATTACATAAGTATATTAACTTCATACCTTAAGGGATAACCCCTTAGAAAGTGGAAAAGATGGTTTCTACCTCCTAGGAATGTAAATTCTACATGGCAGAGGACTGGCATGCTTCATTAAAGCTTTTTCTTATACCTCAGGGTAAAGCATACACTCTTCAGCAGGATATACAGGGTGTCTGATGATCTCCTTCCTCATCCCTATGCCAGCTCTCTCATCTCCTGCCCCATCTGCAGAACTTGCTGAGCCTATGTGGCACCCTTGAATATGCCATATGCTCCTACCAAATTATTTTGCCTCTGATTGCAATGCCATGCTCCTCTGGGTCATGCTTTATGTCTCAAGCACTAGTTCCTATCTGCAGGGTCCTGACTCACAGATGTAGACTCCATACTTCCATTACATCTGTAGGTATGCCGTTGTGTTTTCATGTCTATCTCCAAGCTATGCGTTTTTAGTCGCAATTCCCTAGCTCTTGCACAATGCTAGGCATAGAATGAGCACCCAATAAATACATGCCGAATGAGTGAATGATTTGGTAAATGAATGAATGAATGAATGAATGAGCAAAGGAACTGAAGAACACATGCTTACAATCGATGAGCATGTGCAGTGCTTTCGGACACAGTCTGTTTATAAAAATCATATCCAGGCTGGGCGTGGTGGCTCACCCTTGTAATCCCAGTACTTTGGGAGGCCGAAGTGGGTAAATCATGAGGTCAGGAGTTCAAGACCAGCCTGGTCAACACTATGAAACCCTGTCTTTACTAAAAAAAATAAAATTAAATTAAATTTAAAAAAAATAAAAATTACCTGGGTGTGGTGGCGGGCACCTCTAATCCCAGCTCCTTGGCAGGCTGAGGCAGGAGAATCACTTTAACCCAGGAGGTGGAGTTTGCAGTGAGCTGAGATCACGCCACTGCACTCCAGCCTGAGCGACAGAGTTAGACTTCATCTTAAAAAAAAAAAAAAGAAAAGAAAATCATATCAAGAAACAATTTGATAGAACAGAGTCAGGGCCTGGACTAGACCTGTCCACCAGGGCCATCGATTCTGATAGGGGAGTAAGGCACGGTTTTAGGGTAAGACCAACGTATTTAACTCTGGTACTGGGAACACACGTTCTGAGATTTCATCACTTAGCTGTCAGCATGAACTCAGTCAAGTCATTTAGCTTGTTTCTCAGTTCCTCCTTCTACAACATGGGGAATAAAATGCCCACACCATATGTTTGTAGCAATTAAAATTTTATATTGTAATCGCCTAGCAAAATATTTGTCATGTAGTGGTGGCTTAATGAAAGATAGCTGCCACCCAATGAAAGGTTCTGTTAAAAATGTCTGCCAGGTAAGGTAGTGGTCAGGAGAAATGAGACAACACCTAGAAACATTAAGTATATTGCCAAACGTGTTATAAGCACTGCATGTTTGCTATTACTGTTATTGGTGTCATCATTGTTATTAGTGGAGTCTAGGATGAAGTGGCAGTTGTCTGCAAAACAGAAGACAGTATCTAGTGGTGGAAAACCAGAAGTTCCATGGAGACAGGCATTCAGCATGCAGTAGGCCAACTGCAATGAAGCCAGGGAATGAGTGAATTTCAATCATAGACCTCACACATGATTGTTCAAGAATGGTGAAAGGACATTAGGCTGAGTGTCTTGGTTCATTCAGGCCAAGACAGTTTATGACGCCATAAACCAGTGTCAAATAAACAGCAGAAACTTGCTGGTCATAGTTCTGCAGGCTAGGAAGTCCAATATCAAGGTGCTGGCAGAATCAGGTGTCTGGTGAAGGCTGGCTTCCTAGTTCATAGACAGCTGTCTTTCACTTGCTCTCACATGACAGAAGGAGCAAGGAATGTCTCAGGGCCTCTTTTATAAGGGTACCAATGCCATCCATCCACCTCCCAAATGCCCCACCTCCTATTACCATTGCCTTGAGGGTTAGAATTTCAGC